TGTAGTGTGTGTGTGTGTGTGTGTGTGTGTGTGTACGTACGTGGCACTGCAGTTGAACCAGGGCCTTCATGTAGTGTGTGTGTGTGTGTGTGTGTGTCTACGTATGTGGCACTGCAGTTGAACCAGGGCCTTCATGTTAAGCTCCATCCCCAGCCCTTTTTGTTTTTTAATTTCAGAAGCACCCTGCTAAGTCATGAGCCCTGGGCTGGGCTCAAACTTTTTTTTGGGGGGGGTCCAGATTCTGTGCTTTATAATTAACTCTTTAGTCTCAGGAACGAAACTTAATGATTAGTAATACTGTCCATCACTTCAATTTGCATTAGGTTATCACAATATTTTGGTTTTTAGGGCTGGGGATATAGCTCAGCAGCACAAGCGCCTGCCTAGCAAGTACAAGGTCCTGAGTTCAATTCCCAGTACTAACAAACAAACAATATTTTGGTTTTGCTTTGTTTTCTTTCTATAATCCAAGCTTCACTCCTTTCACCTTAGCCTCAGGAGTCCCTGGATCACAGGCTGGCACTACTGCACTTGGAGGGAGTGTTCTTTCTTATATGCATCAAAATTCATACTAAACAATAAGCCCTAGGTTCCAAAAGGGGATCTATTTTTTGTACCTGTCCATAAGTCTTACTCCACAAGTTAGACAAAAATAGACACCAAAGTGCCACGGGCTCAAACTTTTGCTCCTCCTGCCTTAGCTTGCCAGTGCTGGGATCACAGGCCTATGCCACCACACCCAGCTCAAAAACTGGACACAAAAAATCATGGTGAGCACCTATGCTTTTTTAAAAGAATCACCTGCTTTTATTTTTATTTGGGGGCTTCTGAGAATCAAACTCAGAACCCTACGCTTGCCAGGCAGGCGCTGTGCCACTGAGCTAAATCCCTGGCCCCCCATGCTTTTCTTTTTCTCCATTGCTTTCAGTGTTTACCCCACTTATGGGAGGACACACACAGGGCAACATATTACCGTTTCTCATGGGACCATCTTCATACACCGGGCACACGCCATAGTATAGGGCTGGTTCCTTGGCGACTGTCTCTCCGGCCTTATTAGAGCCAATCTTGGCAGAAGCACTGAGAAGCACTGGGCAGGCCTCAGACATTGCAGCCTCCTCCTCCGGGGGGTTCAAGCCCACATTGTAACCAAAATCCCTGTCCTCAGAGTAACTGGCCCGCCCGGCAGGGCTGCCTGCAGCAGAGGTCAGTGTGCTAGGTGTGTCCAGGCCCACTTGGTTGGGAATGGAGGGAGGCAAGGCCCCACCCTGCTCCAGCAAAGCCTGAGCCAACTTTTTCTCAAACACAAACCGGGTGGTTGCCGTGATGGGCCCACACTTCAGGCCAGCTCTGACAATCTCTTCTCTAAGGTCGTCCGGATTCAGGTGTTTCAGTCGTGCCAACATGGCCTCCATTGTTGCAGCACCTGGGGACAAGACACCAGAGACAGATGAGCTGGGTGGTGGACACACAGGTGGCACCTGCGCTTGGCATGTGCTCTCAGGTACCACGGGACCTCTCTCCTCACACAACCTGTGTCCTCACCACCTTTTTAGCTGTGCTGCTGGTGTGAGGGAGGTTTTGTTCTTACAACCAAGCCAGCTTAGGGCTGCATCACTGTAACCCTTAGCATTACTGAAACCCAAAGCCTTGGTTTCCTCACCTATAAAATGGACATAGTAACAGCTATACTCTTAGCTTATAATGAGAATTAAATAATGCATATAACGTCTGCAGCACTGGGTCTGACACTACCCATGAATGTCAGCTACAACTATTAAGCTGTCAAGGATACAGGTTTATTCATCTTCCCCTGTAAGTACGGACCATACTAATAATTAGAATTAAAACAAGGCAGGTACCCCATTACACACTGACTGTAAGACACAAAAATTCCCAAGACTGCTTACCAGTGTGGGTGAGATGAGAAGGAGCCAGGTGGGAAGGGATGGGAGAAGGCAGCACTTCTAACTATGCTTTTGTAAGTTTCTGACTTTCAGAAATGTACATGATTCACATACCACAACAAAGCTGCCAGGCGTGGTGGTTCATACTTACAATCCCAGCGTTTGGGAGGCTGAGGCAAGAGGATCTCTAATTTGAGGCCAGCATGGACTACAAAGAGTTTAAGGCTAGCCTGGACTACACAGTGATATCCTGTCTCAACAAAACAAAACAAACACCAAGTAAACAAATGAAAAGATGGTGGTGTCACTCAGATGGAACACAAATGAGCCTGACTCTTACAAATGGCAACAGAAGAATGGAGAAGAACTAACCCACATGATTGGAAAACAGTATGTGACAAAGAACTGTACATAGCCGCATCCTCTAGCGGTTTCCCACAATGGCAGAAGGAGGCATTCTGAAGCTACTGAGACTGGAGACAGAAAAACAGGCAGTTAGGACAGGGCCTGAGGGGCTGGGGATTTAGCTCAGTGGCAAAGCGCCTGCCTGGCAAGCGCAAGGGCGTGAGTTCGGTTCCCAGTACCGGAAAAAAACCAAAAAAAAAAAAAAAAAAAAAAAGGACAGGGCCTGAGTACACTGAAACCTGCAAAGTTGGAATGCTAGGCAAGCCTACTCTCCTGATGTCAGAGGCGTAGCTAAAAGCAGCAACTGCTCCTTCTTCATATCTGGATGTAGGCCCTCCACATCATCCTCCCTTGGAGCTCCTCTTGGCTATCGAGACCTTTTTTGTTGTTGTTGTTCTTTCTAATAAACTATACCAGTACACTGGGATCATGTTCGGGAACCAGAGGAAGGAAAGAACTGGTTACATTGCTGGCACCCAACAGGGGCACTTCTCTACGGAGAGTTAAAGTGTGGCAAAATGACTAGACCTCCTGGTGGGAGTGTTGGCCCAGCAGGGAGCTGGATTCCTTTGAGGGTGATCTCTGAATGGGAGGAACCAATCCCCCCTCGCCCCACCTTGAGGGCTCGCAGGTCCTCCAGTGGAAGCAGGGTCCCAGCAGCCTCACCAGGTATCCAGCAGAGACCCCTCCACATGCCTATCACGTTCAGCCTGCACGCCTCCATGGGGTGACATATAAACTTGCTCTGTGCCCTCCCAAGTATCCCCTTTCCAGATAACCTGAGACCCCTCTGTCAGAGCCCTCTTGTAAGCATCCGTTAAGAGTTAAACCACAGGTCTGAGCTATTCTCTCTCGCCTAGCATGGGTGACCCTCTCTTCTCCAGATGTCTTGACAGATTTCATGTGCCAGGAGCATAGGATCCTAGTTCACATCCTGGGCTTTCCCAATCTTGGGTGTCCCTGGTGCCCGGAGCCCTGCCCCCACATTCAGGAGGCCTATATCTGGCAAATAGTGCCTTGAATCCCCCGGGGAAGGTACCTTTCACCAAGGATAAGACTGGGAGAGTCCCTCAGGCCTCAGTCTTATTACCACACACTGGAGATGAGTTTAGCTCTGGTCTGGCACCTTTTCCGGTGTTCACAGGGAACCAACTTCAAACCTCTTCAACCAGATCATTGGGTGGGCCTGCCTCTTCAGCTTCAGTCAGGTTCCTGAACCCCACTGCGATACGGACCATAGTCATCAATTCCTGAGAGAAAAACTCCTGCCCCTCGGGACAGTGACCCTTCTCATTGGTGGCTGGACTGAGGGGTACCCTCATGAGGGCCTTTTGTGCTTCCTGAGATGCCCTCAAAATGCCTGCTATCAGACCCAATCATTCATCACAAGGATCAGGTGCACCCTTGGGAGAGTGCAGCCTCCCAAGGTGAGACCTTGACACATACAACTGTTGACCACCTCTCAGTGTGGGGTTCCCTCTCCTGCTGTTGTGAGCAGACAGAAGTGGAAGAAAAGAGCAAGAGAAGATGTTAATAGGACACTTTCCTCCCTGCCTCTCTTACAAATGGGGAATGCTCACTCTCAGAGCTGTCTGGTTACCTCCACATTTGACCCTCAGACCTTGAAGAAAAAGCACCTAATCTTCTATACCCATGCATGGCCTGTCTATCCCTTGGGGGATGAAGCAAATGGCCAACAGAAAGGAGGAACAATTATAATACAATCCTCCAATTAGACTTATTTTGCAAAAGGCGGGGTAAGTGGTCCAAAGTGCCCTACATGAAAGGTTTTACTGTGAGAGACAATTCTGACCGCTGCAAGTTATGTCGCATAGACTCAGCCCTGCTGGTAGCCCTTATCCCCTCAGCTCCAGAGGAGCCCCCCTCCAAGAAACATCTCCAGAGCCACCTGTGGTGGTACACACTTAGGAGGCTGAGGCAGGACCATCGTCATGGAGTTCAAGGCCAGCCTGGGATATACAGTGAGTTCAGGAGCAGCCTGGACTACAGAGCAAGGTCTTGTCTCCAAAAACTAAAAAAACAAAAGAAAAGAAAAAAGAAAGAAAAAAGAAAGAAAAAAAATCTCCTGAGAGGCCCCCATCCTTACCACCCCCACAAAGAATTTCCTAAAGAGCCTTCCTGTCTCCCTATCCTGGGCCTACAGTGCAAGGGTGGGGGCAAGGGCACCCCACTCTGCTTCCCCTCCAAGTGACAGAAGCATGGCCAAAGAAGCCTACATGTGGGCTCAGATTCTATTCCCCTGGGAGACCCGGGATACATCAAGAAAGACCTAGGCAAGTTTTCAGAGGATCCTCACAGACCTCTCGTTAAGGAATGTGCTCTCCCTTTGAGCCAACTCAGAAAAAGACGCAGTTCTGAGAGAAGTACAGGCTTTAGGGATGAACAATTCACAGCCCAACAAGCAGCTGAAACCCATTTCCAGCTGGGGGCTGTAGCAATTCTCCATGAGGAGCCCCTAGGGGACCTTAGCAACTCAACGGGATCAGGACTTTGGACACACAGACATTTCCTGGCCTGTATATCACAGAGCCTCCAAAGGACCCCAGTCAAACCTCTGAACTATTCTAAACTTGATGATGACACAAGGAAAGGAAGAAAAGTACTTCAGCCTTCCTCAAGCAACTCAAACAAGCCCTATTCATACATACCTTCCTGCAAGCTGAGTCACCAGAGAGATAACTTACCTTAAAGGATGAATTCATTGCCCAGTTTGCCCCTGACATTTAGAAAAATCTACAGAAGTTAGCTATAGGACCAGAACACACTCTCAACCACCTATGAAGATTAGCCAACAAGGTTTTTGTTAAATCAGGATCAGAAGAGGCCTAAGCAGCAGTGAAGTGACAATAAGAGGGCTACCCTTGCTACAGACTGGGTTTCTCAGGACTCTTCCAGGAGTATGTCTCATACGCACAAACCCACACACTGGGTTTCTCAGGACTCTTCCACCAGTATGTGTTATATGCACAAAGCCAAGACACTTCAAAAGGAAGTCCAACTAGCCTCCATCCAGGTCCTATCCTAATTGCCAGAGACCATTTAGAAGGTTGTTTGTCACCAGATGAAGGTCCCAGGGGCAAAGCACTCTGACATAATGATCCAGCAGGACTGATAGAGCCAGAAACTTCCCTTGGCTCCCAAGACCCAGACCAGGAACCCCAGATAACCCAATTCCCACCCAGGATAAAGCTCTTATATCACATTCTCAATTTTACCCATCACCTTCCCAACCAGTCTAACCCTAAATTAGCAAAAAGCTGCTGGTCATGCTTGACCCCTACTGTCACTCATGGCCCACTATGTGGTCCCATACTGGCCTCCACCTGGCCCCAGGTAAAGGCATCCATCACCCACACATTCAGTTACAATCCTTTCTTAAAGGCAGTGGCTGGGGTCTAGGACATTGCTACACAATTTGCCCCGCAGCTGAAGATCCTCAAACCCTCTGTCACCCATTACAGGACCCCCTGCTTACAAACCTCAATATCTTGACTGCTCCCCAACAGACCTCTGTATAAACATCTCCTCCCAAAGACCCACACATTCTTCCACATGCTAGGGACTCAGGGTCTTTGGTGTGAATACACTTTCACCATTTACAGATAGACTGATCACAGGAACCATTAACCTTCCTAAGATCTACTGGGTTATCAGACCCATATAAATAAAGGAAAATTTAAAACCAGCCCAACCTTCAGTCATACAAATAGACAACTCCCACTACAGACTCTCAGAAAACTGTCCAGATTACAAACTCCAGAGGCTGGGCAAATGGTTTCCAAATACAAAAACTTGTGCCCAGCTCGCACACATAGAGGACAAGACTCTTCATGTCTAGATGAGAAAAAGCTGGCCTTCTCCCTTATAAACAAAACAGACACACAATCAAAGCAGCAGCAGGTTCCCTTTCAGGCCCTCACAGGGCAGCCTGGGCCAGTCATTCCAAGTGTGGACCACACTTAGCACGCTGGCCACAAGAGAGATTATAGCCCTATGCTGCCTTAAAATCCTCTGCTTCACTGTCCTTCCAACATCTGCTTTCACTTAATTTCCAACATGCATGGAAACTAGACATCTCTGCATATTTTTGCCT